CGATTCTATGAAATGCTATTTATGTATGTAGTAAGAAGTAAGATACTCTTAAGGTTCAGGCATAGCTGCTAATGGGGGGGGGGGGGCGTGAGGGAGGCAAAGTAGTCACCAGAACTAGCTGCTATGTTGCTCCTCTTAACCAAATTTAAAACTTGTCTATCATAGTTTTAACACTCCCTCAACTTAAAGTGTAGAGAATGTTTAACTGTATATCATGACTCGAACCTTGGACCTTTCATTTTGTAGTTCAGCACATTAACCACTAGTCCATCTCCAGCCAATTAACATTCTTACCCATATATTTTTAATAACCCAATACTCTTTTAAGTTATTCTTGAAAGTTATGTTTTCTAGGTTGTAGACATCAGTTTTATGTATCAAAATGTGTAAATTAAAGTTATATTTCTAAGCATCATATAATTTATAATTAATTTTAGGATCTGAGATAGCAAAAATAAGTTTTCTTTCTTTATCACTTACTATGCAATATTTTCTTTACGCGGTGGCATTTTTTGAAACTTTCATTAGTGCATGTACATGTATACAACTTACTGCTATACCATTTAATATTTATGCAGCCAAAGAAGTGGATAAAATAAGGCACAAATAAAAACTGTCCACCAAAGTATGCTGGACATTTAGCTGCTGTGTCATTTTGATTTTCGAATCGCTTTATTTAATTGATGCTTCCTGTTAAAGTATATTATAACTTTAATGATTTAACTTTTTCAATTCGGTTTAGTGAACAACATCACTTGAACAGTAACAACTAAACCAAATTTTCGTGTTTATCATTTTTCACAAACTTTATCTTGAAAGCATAGATCAGATTTTCTGATTGACCATACTATAATGGTATAAAATAAACACGTCACTACTACAACAAAGAAAAAGCAATTTATTCAACTATAACAACACTTAGATATAAATTCAACACTTACCAAAACACAGTTAAACGTGTCTGGCCAGGACTTGAGACTAATGCTAAAGAACAATATATCATAAATGTATGTAATATTTCAAATAATGGAATCAAGGAAAATAACCAGAAAGAAAAAAAAATAGAAAAACAAAGCAACAACAGCAAACACAATGTTCCACATACACCTTTCAACATTAATAACAATATCGAGTGATAAACAACAACAATTCACTCACTGTATCGTTCACTATCTCGTGAATTTCTCTCTAAGTGAAGCTTCTGGCAGAGGATTTATTCACTGAGTAGGTCACGAGAATACACCTCATGTGATTATAAATTTACATAATCTTCTGCTACATAACTAGTATTTGTACGTCACCGCTAAGAAAGAAAGCTGATGTCAGTTTCGTCATACATGCATATTTATTCAAAATAGAAATGATTAGCTAAAAGGTGAGTTAATGTATTAATGCAACTAAAATATTCATAGATAAATTAAATGGTAGAAGGGAATAATAAATGAACCATATACACAACCATAACAAAAAAAAAGAACTTACTATCACACGAAACAACCCTAAAATTTGAAAGTAATATATTAATTAATTATTTTAATTATTTATTTCAAATGAGTACCGATGCAGAATCGATCAAAGGTGTTTGATATGCAGGTATCACATTTTTCAAATATAAAGATGTAGTGGCTAAGACAAACAAACCAGAAATTTAGGCCATAACCAATTTTTCTACCATGGCAGCATCACCTTCTGCATTAACTAAGACTGATTCCCATTTTAGATGATCTGAGAATTGTACAAAGTTATTTCAATTATAGAAATATCATTTGTGTTAATCTGGTGCTGGTTTACTCAAAATTGAATATTCCATTCATCCGGGATAAGAATGCGTGTGACAGTGGAATGAAAGCGGGGTGGGTTGTCACAAATGCAGTATTGTGTAAAAATGTGTTACAGCACTTGCAACCCGAATGTCATTGCTTCACAATAAATGAAGAACTGCCTGTATTGGTGGCATCTGTCAAGCTTTTCTGCTTGTATTATTGCGTGGTAGAGAAGTTATCATCCTTTTATGAGATTATTAAGTAAAAAATATTTAAAAAGTTCAATGAAATGCTGAGAGAAAAGATGTCTTACAAACTCACTTAATGGCCCAATGAAGGTATCCCACTTGATAAGGAAGGTCAAATTAGTGAAAAATCTTACAAACTCACTTAATGGCCCAATGAAGGTATCCCACTTGATAAGGAAGGTCAAATTAGTGAAAAATCTTACAAACTCACTTAATGGCCCAATGAAGGTATCCCACTTGATAAGGAAGGTCAAATTAGTGAAAAATCTTACAAACTCACTTAATGGCCCAATGAAGGTATCCCACTTGATAAGAAAGGTCAAATTAGTGAAAGAAAAAGACAAGAACTATTCTGATGACATCTGCTATAGTAGCTAGTTATACATTATTCTGAATACCAACTTTACCAATAATACATCTTATTTCTACAACACTAAGATTGTGAGGACAACTAATGGAACCTTCGACGAGTCTCCTAGTAAAAATTAACTTCAAGACAGTGGTGTAATAATGACATCTGTTAAACTCAGGCCATAAAATGGGTGGAATCCTGGGCATGAAGATAGTTGCCAGGAGGAAAATAAGGGGAGAAACATCAGAACAGTGTGACACAAGCCTGTACCCCATACTTAGTTTGTAAATTTTTCGAAATTTCTATTTCTATTTGAATGAAGAAAGTCGTTCAAATAAACAACATTACTCCTCCTTACGCTAGGTGCACATGAGACTTGGCTTTATTGATTAGTCATTGGGTACGTTCTCTTAGAGCTAAGATAGCTGTTACATCACTATGACATTTTGAAAAAGACAGTTGTCTTTTCTGATGGTGAATTACATAATTATCTGTGGTTTCCATGCCCCTATGCTTTAATGTATATTGTTCTAGGTCCCATCTATGAGATGCGTGGTGTGAGCAGCCAAGCTTTGTTATTGTTATTGTGTTTAAAGCCAGGTTCTACCCTGTTAGTTAGGTTTCCACTAAAATTCTAATTTTTGCTAAGAGTTTGTGAAGAGTTTTATATTTATAATTTGTAAAACTTTCAAATTTGTGGTTGTTTCACCTTAAATTTAATGTTTTTATTTTAACATAGAGGGATTGCTTTATATGTCACTAAATTTTCCTTTTTGTGTAGCCTATGGTGAGGCTCTCACACTGGACTCGTGAGAGAAACATTAAATGTTTATTTATCTATCTCTCACAGGTACTTGCCCTAGCAGTGTTTTGTATCAGTGCACTGTGTTTGTGTATCTTAATAAAGATTGTTGCGGTGTATTTTATCTAGTGAATTTTTCTCTGTTGGTGGACTCGGAGTCCAGAATTTGAATACACCCATACTCCACAGTATCATATCAATCGAACCTCTTGTTTAGTGAGAAATCAAGGAACCATAATCTATCACAACAGAAACAAATCTCCAGCCTTGGACAAGCTGAAAAGGGTAAAAATAGACCTATCCCATCCAAAGGATGTCCTTATTCCACTGCTGTTCTGGAAGACCGCTTTACCCCTAAGAGTTCACCTATCAAAGTGCTATAACATGTATAATTTAGTTTCTTATTTTCCTTTTCATTGTGTAAGTTGACCCATGTTGATGATGGTCATAAAAAAAACTTTCTACAACACTACTTTTTGCAAGACAACAGATTTTTGAACTGGTTCTTATTCTTAAAACCTAAAAAAAACGACCTTATCTTGTAATAAAAATAAACGACCTTATTCGTCATATTAGAAACTAAACTGTTGGGGCATACAACTCACTTTAAGATATAGACCTTTTTTAAACATTTGTAACTCATATTAGTTTTAGAGATCATACTTCTTTTTTTACAGTGTGAAATTCAGAAATTTGATCTGTTAGAGTGTGATACCATAAGTTTTCAGGTTTTTCTTATTCGTGATTACCCTTTTCTCTTATTTTTTTGTTAATTCGACTATTTTCAATCCGAAGCATCTGAAAATTATAAAACCACAATGATATTGATTAGGTGGATAGTACTACTACTTTTTCCACCCACAACCCGTAACTTGTGTACGTTTTTTTTTTTTTTTACTTTAGTTCAGTTAGGACTAAACTTTACTGTACTTAATACTATCGAGACATAAACTTATAATGTTATTCTACGACCTAACGTCAAACCTTTTTTTAAAGTTTTTAACAATCTGTTGTACAAAATGGTTAGTAAAGTATATTTACATTCCCCTTTTGTTGTTACTTCTTATTT